TATGTAACAATTTTTTATTTTTTTAATTCCCACTTCACATTCATGACCGAAAAGACTCTTTCAGTAAATGGTACTGATGAGCTACTCTTGCTGTGTTTGGGCAATCGGTGATACCAACATACATATTAACAGTAAATTGTAGATTTTTTTATTTTGTCTGTATGGGTTTCTGCGTATTATTACACACTGGCACTAGTTAAGTAAACATTGTAAAAAGAGTATTTTAGCGTACTCTATTAGTGTTATAGATTACAGAGTACGCTTACAGGATATAGAGGACAATACTCTATTTTAGAGTACGGTTGGCAACCCTAGTTACAGTACCCATTATGTACCATTCTCTAAGAATAGATCTCACATTTGACACGTATCGAATCGAAATTACAAGAATCTGAAAATTATCATCTAGAGAAGTTGGATATGAACAAGCAGAATGCCTAGTCTAAGAGCTAATATGAGAGCTGGCGTCTGGCTACAAAATAGTGAATTCTTCCATCAGTCTCATTATATCAGGGGGTTGTTTGACGGTGGTACGACCCTAGAACCAAACCACAGCATCGGGCACGGTTCCAGAAACACTTAGTAGAAACCAAAAATTACAACAATATTTCGCTCGACTCTGGGCATTGCACCGAGACTTTACAACTACTTGATCAACGCGGTCCATACAACATACGGGGAAATACATAAAAATAAATAAAAGGCGTGTTTTGTTATGACACAACGAGTTATAAATTATAAATTCTACGCTTCATCACAGGCGACAAAGAATCTACTTTTTATGCTAATGATGGGTTTTAACACGAGCACGTTTGTAACTCGTTTAATAATACTAACAGGTAAACTACAATGCTGTTGAGGAAATAGATACCGCTATGTAATAAAAGACATCTTATAAACTACAAATGTAAGTATTTGTATTGTAGCTTTCGTGAGACATACTAAATAAATTATTATGTTCTCGGCTTACTCACGTAATAATTTGACGAGGAACTCGACTAGTTTCAAGCCATGCTAGAGGTTCATATTCATGAGCAGCATTTCGCGACCCGCGACGCGGCGACTGATTATTACGTAAGTAAGCCGAAAACATAATAATGTAAGTATTTATTACTATTCTAGCTTCTGCCCGCGACTTCGTATGCACAATCTCGTTTTCTCCCGTTCCCATAATATTTTCAGGAGTTTTGTCTATCATAAGAACCTTCTACTGACAATAACAAACACAACAAAAAAAAAATCTGCCTAATCGGTCCAGCAATTCTCAAGTTATGGCGTGACAACGGGAAACGGGTTTTATTTTTATATATAGAAATAGATAGATTACATAAACCGGTAATTATTGGTTTATAAACAAACCTATGATTAGACCTGTTGATTATCCAGTACATTTTCCAATACGCTACAATCAGTTAAGGGAAATGTTGTAACACGGTTACTCCTATTTTTAATCGCGGTAATAGTTAAAGCTATACAGAAATTACGTATAACGGAAATATTCTTCTTAAAATTATATAAAAAAATATCCCACTACAACATAATTATGTCTATCTTTTATGGTTGACTCACAAATGACACGTCTAACTCCCTATAGCTTAGCAGTTCAAAGCTTTCTGATTATATTTCTCTACTCTTACGTTTATAACATTCCCAGTTAATATTCTGCGCATCACACTGGGTACTTATTATCTCGAAAAAATAAACTTTAAACTACAGTAAAACCCGCTTAAGACGATTTCTCAGGGACCTTACCAAAAACGCGTCTTAAGCGAGAAAGCGTATTATGCGGGATAGGGAAAATAAAAAAAAAGTACTACTTATTATTATGTAATATGTTCTAATTTTTGTAATTATACATTTATAAATTACGTTAAATACGTAGTGTAATTAAAATTACATTATTTAAAATAATCACTTATTTTGGTTTGACAAAATGATTTTGATGCATTAGCAATTAAAAGATTTTCAACATAATTCAACTTTTGCAGTGCGTCTTCGCTTTGATCCATAGAAGCTACATAGCGTCTTAAATCATAAACAGCTGATAATGTCTGGGCGTTTGACAAAACCGGAGTTGACTCATCTTCGTCTTCATCATTATCACTTAGGGCTTCGTTTTGTGTGTTGTTCACATTCTCAATAAGATCTTCAAGTGATTGAATTTCGTACGGTGCTACATTGTCATCAATAGAAAAGTATCCAGGAAAACCCTGCAGTAGTCGGGTACTTCTTCTTCCAACACGACGTCAACCACGTTGTTTCTGCTGTTCGGCGTGTATTAAACGGGATGACGAATCGTATTAAGCGTTAAGAAATGTATGAAAATATATTTTAAGTTGCAGGGACCGACGTAAAATGGCGTATTATGCGAGAAATCGTATTAAGCGTGATCGTCTTAAACGGGTTCTACTGTAATTTAATAGTGTGGTTCCATCCCTAGACACGATTACTGGGGCCTACGGACGGCGAGCATGGGTGGCTCCCCGTCCGACCAGAAACAGACCCGAGCGTACGGCGCGTCGCGTTCCGCGCGCGCCTCAAAGAGCCATCAGACCACCACAGATGGGGCCCAATACGGCCGATGCCGATTCGGAGTCGCGGAGAACCTAACGGGTAACCGGGGCTCCAACTCGACGTGCAGGAGAAGGAACGGGGGGGTTTTTAGTCAGTAAGAGTCTGACACACCCTCCCGCCTCACCCAGGCGGGAGCAGTCATTCGATGATTTTCCCCCCTTAAAAAAAAAACTGTACCCTCTGTAAATGAGACAGATATTTATTTATACCTGTATATCTGAGACACTGGGTAAGTGGAATACCTCTATAAGTGAAACGACATTGCAAGTCCCTTGATGTCTCACTTAACCAGGTTTCACTGTATAAGTTTGTTGAATGTTAGGTTAGAAGCAGTGGGCGTTACGCTGTGACTGTAGGGCCGATGGTCGAAATTTGCTTGAATCGCTATGATTAATGTGATTTGTGTGCTT